ATTTATTTGAGTATTTTATTGATGAGTGAGAGAGAATATTAGTTTTTTTATATAATTTTATTAAGTTCTTGATAATTAATGCAGAATTATAGATTTTTATCTGATTTCTTTACAAATAGTACAGATACTGCAGCAGATGAATTGCTAATACAGATAAAGCTTTTATTTAATAATTTATTGAATGTTTTTTATAGAATAAAAAGCTTATTATATGATATACTGTAGAGAGAGCTTCAAGATAATTGCAGATTTTTACTGTCTTTTTTAATAAACTCAATTATATAATCTATACTGCACTCTTAGTAAGAGAGAAATATCTCAGTCATTTTTTTATCAAATATATCTGCAAAGTTTTTATACATTTCAGAGAATTCTTTACAGAGCTTCTTAAGATTCTTAAACTCTAATTTTTCTAATATTTTCTTGATATTTATTATACTAGCAGCAAATATCTGAACATTCTTCTTTTTATATATTTAATAAATTAATAACTTGAATATTTTTATTAATATCTGAGTAAAATCAGCAGTTCTATCAATATTCTTTTTGTAGATATAATTATCTTCTGAGAAAATAAGACAACAGTTATATATATTTAACAAGATTTCAAATTTCATAAATTATAACAGATTAAGTATTAAATTATATTCAAGATTCTATACTTTATATATAAAAATACTCTTCTTCTTATATTCTTCTATATTAATATTGAATTTTATTATATTATAAAAGACAGATTCTCTAGAGCTATTAAACTCATTTAGTTTATATAATTCAGAGAAAGAAATATACTGAAGCTTATACTTCTCTATTAACTGAATGTTTATAAAAGTATAATAAAAAAAATCACTATCTATTATTACATATATATTGACTAGATTATTTATAATAATAGAAATTATAATTATATTCATTTGTATCTTCTGCTCAAATCTTCAGCTGATTTATTGTTTCTTGAGTTTTTATTTATATTTTAGAATAAAAGCTCTTTTTTTCTCTGTTCTTATCTATCTGCAGATGACACAGTATTTATATATATAAGAAATTAACTTAAAAGAACTGTATTTGAGTACTGATTCATAAAATACTCTGATTTATTGCAGTGTATATAGACTTTTTTAATAATTTAGTTAACAGTATTTTTATCTGAGATATTGAAAACTCTTGAGTATTCAGTATTTATATAAAAGATTCAGTTTATTGACTCTGATTTGAATGCAGAAATTGTTGTGAAATAATTTGAAATATATATATTTATTCAGCAGAATTCTTTGCAGTTCTGAAATATATAAAATTAAAACAGATTATTATTGAATAGACAGAGATTTATACAGTATTCACTGTATATTAAAAGTTTCAAATACTCTATATTTTAATTATACAGCTGAAAGTTCAAATTCTTGAATAGTATATTAATTTTAATAATATCATCTCAGTTCTATCTATCTGCTTCTAAAAGTTTATAATCAAATTTAGATAGATAGATTACTAATATAGTATTCTTCTGACAGATTTTATTTAGCTAGTCTAATATTTTAATTTAAAATATAGAATTAAAAAAAAATATTAAGCTATTAGAAAATTAACTCTGATATATACTGATTATTCAGATAGTAATTTATTCAGAATTAAAATTTTACTAATATATTATTATCTAATCTGCTGTGAATATATTATATTTAATTTAATAGCAAATCTATCACTTAGTTATTAATATTTAATTTAGTATTTACTTTTGACTTCTATATAAAATATAACACTAGATTTTCTGTATATTTATCAAGAATTGAAAGCTTCTTTTTCAGAGACTTCTTATGAGATGCAGATATAGAAGAAATAGTGAATATAGATATACTCATTTTAATAAATTATTATTATAGCTCAGTCATCTACAGCACTTACTACTGAAGAATATTTTATAGATTTAAATTATTATTCATTATATTCAAATACAGTGAATATTTATAGATCTGTTGATAACTTATTTTAGTATCTAAAGATATATAATTCTAGAAAATAGAATACTTATAGATATTCAGATTTTTATAAATACTATTCACAGTATTACAGTACTAAGTTTATCAAACTTTTTTATAAACATTATTCACAGTATTATAGTTTATAGACACTTGAATCTCTTCATAAGACAGTTAATTATATTATAGATACTTAGATTTGACAGTCTATATATCTAATAATAAAAGTATTCAGACTCAACAAAAAACTTATATAATAACTAGATACTCAGATTTTTTTTAATATAATCAATATACTTAAATATAAAAACTGATAATAAAATATTCAGATTTTAAATATAATTAATATATTCAGATATAAAAATCTAACAACTAGACACTCAGATTTTAAATACAGATGAATTAATTTATAATATAATAGATATATTATCAATTAAATAGATATTATTAATATTGTAGATTAAATTATTTATACTATCTGTGCAGTTTATACAATTTATTTCAATGATACTATCAACAGATTTGACACTAGACTGGCCGTGTGACCATGTATGGAACTGGGACCAAATTTTTCCTCAGTTCCATTATTAGATATCTTAGTTCTGGTCCCATATAGTGTTTAGCAAATTAGTCACTTTACACTGTTTATATTATAAATCTAGTCCCAGATCATGTTTTACTAATAAATTAGTGATTCTGATCCCATTTGATCTCATTTTACAAAATGGAACCAAATGGGACCATGATTTACCCTATATAGATTGGCAGTGATAGATAGATTGGCAGTGGTAGATAGGTTGGCAGTGGTAGGTAGATTGACAGTGATAGATTAGCAGCAATAGATTAGCAGCGATAGATTAGCAGTGATAGATAGATTGGCAGTGGTAGGTAGATTGGCAGTGGTAGATAGATTGACAGCAGTGGGTAGATTAGCAGCAGTGAGTAGATTGGCAGCAGCACTAAGCAAGATAGAGGTAATATCTTGGCAGCGATAGATTAGCAGTGATAGATTAGCAGTGATAGATTAGCAGTGATAGATAGGTTGGCAGCAGTAGGTAGATTGGCAGTGGTAGGTAGGTTGGCAGTGGTGGGTAGATTGGCAGCGGTGGGTAGGTTGGCAGCAGCACTAAGCAAGATAGAGGTAATATCTCCACCAATCATATCATCAGATTGATGTATTATATAATCATCAGAATGGGACCAAACTTGAGTCAAAATCATGATCAGTCCCAGATCATGTTCTGATTTTGATAGTCAGTCACTTTACATGGAATATCAAGATTTTTTAGTCCCATTTCACTCATGTTTTGATAATTCTAGTCACTTTACACTCCCATTCTGGTCCTGGTTCCACTAAAATCATGTCAAGAAATGGACTGGGACCAAACTAAACCAAACCAAATGTGTAATTCATGGTCCCGGCGGCCAGTCTATTTGACACTATTCTAATAACAGTTTATAAATTAATTAAAAAAAGAAAAAGAAAAAAAATCAGAAAAAGAGATTATATAAGAGGATTTTTATAGATAAGAAAATCAGAATAGAAAAAATATTAAAGATCATACTCTGAAGAAGTACAGAGTAAAAGAATTATTAGAGTATTAAAATATATACAATTGTAAGACAGAATTATAAGAAGATATAAAAGAACTTTATAAATATATATAAGTATATAAGTATACAGTAGAGGGTTGATTGTGTAAGTTAACTGCTAATAGATGCTAATCTATCACAGTGTATCTTATAAGATCTATTCTTAAAACTGTATATATAAATAATGAAAGAGATCATCTGAATTCATATTCTGAGTCTGCTTTTTATACAATAAAAAGAGCTCATTTCATTGTTGAGTCAGAGAAATCTTGCAGAAGTATACTCAATCTCTTGAGTATATTGAGACTTTAAATACTGAAATGAAATCTATAAAGAGATAAGAATAAAAGCTGTTAAATGATATTCAAAAATTATAGATTGATTGTCAGCAATCAGATTAAAAATCAATATGAAAGTTCAAACAGATCACAGATAAGCTATTTTATAATAAAAATAGTGAAATTAATTGATATCACTATCAAGTTCAAATTCTCTTATCAAAGTTATTTTTCTTTGCAAAAGAGTGTCAAATCAATCATCTGAATACTATTGTGCAAGAGGATAAGATCTCTTTACACAATCACTATATTCAATATTATATATACAATATTCATAGAATTCAACAGCTGCTTTGATGTGGAAATTCATCTGATCTCAATACAATTGAGGCAGTTTGACTCTGAATGAAGTGCAGAATAATAAGAAAAGAAGTTTCTAAGAATCATACAGAAGCTGTTAGAGTATAGAAGTAGATATGAAAGAATCTGTTACAAGAGAAGATACAGACATGGATTGAGCAGATTTCTGTACATATTGAAAAGATTATAGAGTTAGAAGATGGTAATGAGTATAGAGAAGGAAGATGGCATGAACAGATGAAGGAATAGAATACTCATCTGATTGACAGATTGGCACACAGATTGGCAGGCAGATTGGCATACAGATTGGCAGACAGATTGGCAGGCAGATTCCATGTTGAATAGCAGCAGAGACAAGGAATAATCAAGAGCTGAGTATTCAGTATAAAATACAGTGTGAATTTCTGCCAAGATTTGTGGCGCTGTCTAGTTGTCTTTTTGCCGGCGCAATTCTTTTGATAGCGCCCTCCGTAGTGTGTTCATTGTTGGTGTTATTACTCTATTCAGCAGAGGTGGGATCCCCAATATATATATATACATACAGATGTGCAGCCGCTGCACCTTGTCCAAACTCAACGACCCAATCTCGCTCAAGTCTTTCGTCACCGTCCCCCGGCCATCGCGATGAATATACAGCGCCTGCCTCGTCCGTTTGACACGGCCATGCACGGCATCAAGACAAAAATCCGCCTAGCCGCGGTAGCACCGTTTCCCCGCCGCAGAATCGCCAAAGATCAGCGCAAAGCAATGCGGCATGCAGTCAAATCGTTCGAGGACGGCCGTGCCGCCGGCCTCATGCGCTTTTTTTCGCCAGGTACGTGCCGTCGTCTTCGATCAGCTCTTCGCCGATGGTGATGAATATCGGCGGGGCGTCTTTCCATATCTCCTTCGGCCCGCTTAGGGGTGAGACGAAGGGGTGGGTTAGGATATCTGCGTTGGCGTAGAGTTCGGCGCGTCGTGGGGAGGAGGGCCAGTCAGCGTCGTCGGGGAAAGGCATTGGTTTGAATTCTTGATTCATGTCGTGGATTGGCGTGAGGTAGTCTAAATGGACGTTCCTACTGGTTGATGGCAGGGAGACTGCAATGTCGCCGAATGTGATTGATGTCGCGACTCCTGCGGGAAGCTCGAGGGGGACGTCCTTCCCGTGAAATCGGATTGTTGGGTTAGGGGTCATATGGCGGATTGTAAGGATGGTCTGTAGAAGTGCGAGAGAGAGTCCGCCGCCGGCTGAATCGCCGGCGATTACAATTTTGCTCACAGGGACGGCCGAGTGCAGAGATCCTTCCGGCAGGGAAAGGAGATGTAGATATGCTACCAGCGCATCAAAGAGGGCTGCTAGGAACGGGTTCTAGGAGCCAGTCTGTAGTGGACAGAGAGACAGCGTCCACCCGTTTCCTTAGACAGTCTTGCCGCTGTAGGGCGATGCGAACATGGGGTCCATCAAACTGTGCATATGCGTTAGCCGTTAAGTTCAACTTGCCCATGATAAATTACAACCAAAACAGAAAATCGTGCGTACTAGTATGCGCAGCCATGCAAATAAAGAATCGTAACATCCTCCTTAACTTCCGCCATCATAGATTTAAACTTCTCTTCGGACACATCTGGCTGCGGAGACTTGGCATTCACTCCGCTCCAGTGCCCTGTCCATTCCGCCTCGACATCGGCCAGCAGGGGTACATCATACGTTTCATGGCCCTCCTTACGATGTCCAATAGCCTTGATCAAAGACTGCTCAAAGACTGCAGAACGGAGGGTTCAGCGGGCTTAGGCATTTTAATTTTCGACACCCACATTGGGCCTTTGATGCCGGGATCCTTCAAGGTGCTCCGCTACGTTTTGCCCAATGGGTACTCAAAAGAGATAAATGATCGGACCAAGTTGACTGTGAACTCGACCTGCAGGTCCTGCTTGCCAGCGGCGGGAGAGCGCTTGAAAACATGCAAAGAGGATATCTTGAGCAAACGCGGGACGCGGGCCGCCAGCGTCTTGAGGGTGTTGAAGTTGAGTTTCGCATCCATGATTCCTGGAGAAAGACCGGGGGTGTTCACCAAAAATGCAAAATGCACATATATCCATCCTACCTACCCATGCAATTCCTGGAAGATGTCGATTTTCTTGCTCTGGGTTCGTTTGGGAGTGTTGGTAGTGTCTAGGCATAGCAAAGCAGCATTACTAATTAGGAGCACAAGATCGCCCTTAGTTGGCCTTTGGCGATTGTGAGTGCGCGAAACTTTTGGAAACATCAAGAGAGGTATTCTCTTCCTGAAATAAATTCAATAATTAGTGGCTCTTGGCCAGGTGGAGTTACAGAATAGACGGCCTGGGATTGGCACCTTCCAACCCCCATGAGGACAGCTTTTGAATACTGAAAATATTCAAATAGACTTCCCGGGTAGCTAACTATGGAGCACATCGCAACATAACCTTGGAAGTATATTCAAAGTTTCACGTGTATGAATGAACTAACTGAATTAATATCGAGCCTGGCTAGGAACTAAGCACTGATAATCACTGTACTTCAACATCATCTTGCCCATTCCTGGCGAACTCATGATAACTTCTGGGCGCTTCACCGGCTGCATCCTTAATTCATATAAAATAGACCTTGAGCACACGAATTAGACGATGTACGGGATACCTAGCTCTTTCGCGATAATGCTCGCAGCTTTCTCTCCAACAGCTAGTGCAGTCGAGTAGGTGTTTGCTGCTACATTGCTTGGGCATATCGAGAGATCTATGGGAGCCAGTCATTCATCAGCAATCTGTATACCAGGAGGGAAAACAGGATTTTATCAAGAAAAATCAAAACTCAAAAGACTTACCAATGACTTTTAGGTTTTTAACACCATAGACATTCAAGTCTTTGTCTACCACTCCTCCATTCTCTCTTGGTTTCATTGCACATGTGCCCAGGCTATGGAATGTGGTGGTAAGATTCTCGCGGATGTACTCCTCAATGGCATTATTGTCAGCTTCTGAGTATTCTATCGGCACTGGGTGTCCCTTCGCCTTAGAAGCCGCGTCCACTACCTCAGGGTCTGCCTTTGATCCTGGAGGAAATGCCGGGTTACCAAAGGGATTCGCCCCGTTGTAATATGGCAGCCTGCGCGCGATTTCTCGTTGTTTTTTGTACCCCCATACTAGCTTCATCACGTCTGCAGGGTGATTGAGAAAACCAGCATCAAACTCTGGAGTATCAGTGACAGATTTGCCCGTAATGTGGATTGACCCCCGTGAGTAAGGGTATGCAGTGTATGAACCCATAGTGAAATATTGTCCTTCAGCTGGTGGTCCCTTTTGTGCTAAATTCGCCGCGAGAATGCCTAGAAGCATCAAGGGGCGAGTTTCTCTGTGACGGAAATCTTTATCCCACACTTCCTGTAATACTGGGCCAAACTCATTTACTTCTGTTTCTGAGGGTCGAAGCTTTCCAAAGCAGTCAAGGCCATTCCATCCAAGCAAATGGCGGGTGGGGTTGGCTGTCTTTAGCAACAATGCTTGTTCAAGGGGAAGGCGGCCTGTAAATAGGCCATCCAGTGTTTCCTCTGCTGTTGCCTTGGAGGAGTATGAATAGGAGACAGTTTGATGATCCTGATAGTTGCTCCCAACTCCATTCAAATCAGACACCACTGGAATACCTAACGCCTCAAGTTTCAATTTATTTCCAATTCCAGACCTTTGCAAGACCTGGGGAGTGTCCAGCGCATTGGCTGCAACTAAAACAAACTGTTTTGCATGCGCTACAATTGGTTCTGTTGATGGATCTGCCCCGGTAGGTACGTATTCGACCCCCGTGGCTCTGTTGGATTCATCAAACAAGACCCTCACTACAGTCGAGTCTGTTAGGACCCTGAGCTTCGTGTTCCCTGCGTCTAAGATGGGGAAGAGGAAATTGTGAGGCACGTCTTGGCGCAAGCCGGTTTTCTCATCGATCCACATGTTCCATCGCTACACGGGTTAACAAAAGTTTCGTATCTACCGCGAAAGGGAGAAGGGTGACTTACGCCCACTGCATTCGCCGTTTTGAAATCCTGTACATCTGGGACCTTCCTGATTCCAATATCCTCGCATGCTTTGAAGACATCTTTCTGGAACGGGGCCTGCACATAGGTTCCTCCCGCGGAGACACTCAGCTCCCCGTTGTAACCATGGATGGATTTGTCGATTTCAGGGTCTGTATCTTGGAATCGCTCGATCTGACATGACGAACAAGCGCATAAGAGTTAGACATGAGAATTAGAGTTCAAGGCTTAGGGGTTGTAACATTTCGAACTATTGCATTGTATAAACAGTACAGTACCTACTTTTTTAATGAACGGTATCATGTCCTTTCCGGTCCAACCTTCCGTGTTCCAATCATCGTAATCTACTTCTTGGGCCCTGGTATAGACCATGAAGTTTATGGAGCTTCCTCCCCCAAGAATGTTGCCAGTCGAGACAACAGCCACTCGCCCTCCTAGGTGATCACTTGCCTTGGACTTGTAGATCTTCGCGATGGTCGAGGTTGGCGCAATGTTTGAAAGGTATAGTGCCGGGGTGACCACCTGAGGGTTATTCCGAGAATTGATGCCCGCCTCGATCACCAGGATCGAGAGGTCAGGTTTGGCTTGAGCCAGACGACCCGCAGTAATCAACCCCGTTGTTCCTCCTAAATAAAGAAATAAAGGCAGTTAAATTGTAGGTTTCTTGAGAGGGTGAAGGGAACACGCTTGGAAACTCACCGCCCACCACGATGATATCTACGCCACCCTCTGCCATAATTGACTCTGACTGCTGCTTGGATCTACAGGAGCCTTAGGTTTCAGAGGGTGATGTTGTGTACCACTCCGCTGACATGGGATGCAGTGAGCATAGGAGCAGCGCGTAGCCATCGTTTTCTTTGTAACTCGAGCAGTCGCCCCTTGGCCCCTTTGCCCGCCTGGGTGGTTGAGCGGACAAGCACCCCCCAGGTTAAATACATGAAAAGACGGCGACGACGTCTAGGCAGCGCATCAACTCCGCAACCCTGCATCCGTGCCACGACGGGGATATATTGCAATCAATTAAGGCTGAACCTGACGGGACATACTACGGTGTGCACTGCTGACACCCCGTCTTACTGTACCAACGTTGTTAGCGCCGTGATCAAGACCAATATTAATAGCGAGCATCGGATAGATGCAACTCGCAAATTATCGCGCCGTGTCCCGCTTGAACGCGCCCGATACCTCAGTGGGTGCCGCCCGGGCGGGTTAGCGCGCGATGCTGCTTTTTGTCCTCGCGATGTCGCGCGATGTCACCTTGCAACCCCTTCGGATATTCCCGTCAGCCAGCTGGAGGGCACCCCAGTGGCTTGATGCTTGATCACTACATCTGACCACATTTGATCAGTGAGCTCTATATCTAGCTATCTCAATCGAAGAAGAATCTTCTGATTCATAAGAAAACAGAGTATGAAGAATACTGAGTCAGTCTGATCTATCCTCAAACAGGAAGTGTTGGTCAGGGAAGCAGGGTGAAACTCGAATCATGTCGGCTGGAGGAGAGCTCAGGACTTGTTAACTAGTTGGTCAGGGAATAATGATAGATGAGCATACGGAACATTTCAGTAAATTTTAGATACTTTGTCAACGGGTCATTTTTGGTTGTTCTAAACCGTGACAATGGCACAAACCTTCGCCTGCCCAAATAGTCATGCTGTGCGGATTTTTGCCACCTCCAATATAAAACTTCAACGACGCGCTCCATTCTACCCCATCCTCCACAACATTAACCACTTCCACTATGCTATATTTAACTCGGATACAGCTCGTTTGAATTATTCTGGGTATATCAATATTTCCAGTATTGCTCCAGCTGGTTGCCGTTCTTCACATCTAACCCACCTAAGGAAGTGACACGTTTCATTCTATCTAACTACTAAACTACGTCAGCCAAATTTACTGTGAGTGTACTGCAGCAGGTATCTTGAAGAGAGTGGTTTGAATCAATTCAGATCAGGAGACGCAATCGAGATAGTCACGATGATCCGTCTCACCTCTGGCGAAGTATTAAGACAGGTTGGTGTCGCTCTTAACCAGCACAAGCCCGACACCCTCGTTGAACTTCCGCAGATCGTCTCCTGGTCTGAAGGGATTCAGAAGGCAACGGCTGCTATTCAGGGTACCCAAGGGGACGTATTCCTTGTTAACCCTCGTACCCGTCGCCAGAAGGAGATCTGGTGTCAGATGGCGCTTGAGAACGTTCGTGGGGACAAGGAGGCTCCCCAGCCTAGCGAAAAGAAACCTGGCCTCCGTATACGGACAAGTTATGATATGTCTACTCTGCCATACCCTGGAATGCCGTCAAAAGAAGTGCAAAAGAAACTCAAAGAAGAATTCCTAAAGGAGAATCGACAATCACCATCGAATCATACTGCACCCTATATTATCAACAATAGGGCAGGCCTTTTAGACAACGTCTTACCACTTGTTCAAGCACATATTAGAGTCTGCCCCATAGACGATGAATTTGAATCCTCTGAAATTTTGCCGGAAGCGAATATGATCTGGGATACCGGAGCACACCGAACTATAATCTCTGCGGACCTTCTTTCCGAACCATTCCGTCGTCGTCTTGAAAATGAGGAGAACGACATATATCGCTCTGAGAGTGGGACAGCTGTTCAGGTGACAATCCTAGTTGCCCTCTCGAACACTACAGTCACCATTGAGGCGATTGCTCTAGTTTGCCCTAGAAATCTTATGCCAAACGGGTACAATGGCATTGTCTTCGGACAAAGCCAATGTATTAATTCGCTGGTATATACCAGTATTCCTCGCACGGCTCTTCTTCATTCTGGAGAGGACGTTGCTGAGGATGCCTGGGGCGACCTTTCTCTCAGTTCTTATTTTGATCCGTTTGGTGACGCCCATGCCTTTTGAGATCATTACTTGTTGGGGGATCTTCAAGGTGACTCTCTCTTATTTCCATTGGTGTCATGGTATTGCTGCGCAGAATATTAATGGCCCTTGGGCGGCTTTTTCATAAATTCTAAAGCGCTTCGTGATTGTTTTAGCATGTTTCCTATGCAATTTGCCTGCTCGCTATATTCTTAGCCTTTGGCTTGTCCGCTTGTTTTTTTTTTTTTTGTTTTTTTTTTTTTTTTACAGATTTTTACTTCTCCTTTCGACATTGCTCTGTTTCACCTGAGCTATATCTTGTCCGGTAGTCAGATCCCCAGCGTGGTCACAGGGCTTTTCACTCCTATACTTTATCTTTATTTTTGATTTGAGATACCAAGCCTACGACTAAATCAAAAGGATCAATTAATGAAAATATAACTGTTAAAACACGAGCGTCTTGAAAGAGAATTCCCCTAGGGAAACTGGTCTATTGAAAAAGTGGATTGCCGAAGATGGGGACAAATGCCCCAGGTGTGCTCTTTCACAACCCCCCGATGTGATAGATTTGTATACATCAGGGAAACAGGTATTGGCTGGTTTGATGGTGGCTTGTTCAGTGGACTGCCTTGGGGAGTCAAGCTGCATACCGAGACGCCGATCTATAGCAAAATTCAAATAACCATGAGAGTTTCCAACTATATTAGACGAAACTACGCTATGTTCTATCACATACGAACATAGGAAGTGGAAAATAGGGCTTCCCGTCCGCTCAGCCGTACTCAAGCCACTTGCCGGCCTGTTAGTAGTTGGGTGGGTGACCACCAGCGAATCCGGGCTTTTGTATGTTATCTTTTTTATTTTTGCTTTTCTTTTCTTTTTTGGATTGTTTATTTGGGTGTATGTGGAAAAAAGGACAGCCTAAAGTAAATAAGCACCATGGCTAGCACCTCTTCTCAAAGTGCCCAGCCCAGGTCAATCTGGAGTCGAAAGTCGGATATTCTCTACGTTGGCTTTCTGTCCACGACCGTTTTTCTTGCTTTTGGTACGTTGCTACGTTTCCCAGCACGCTGGTATACCATAACTATTCCTTTCATTCCATGTTCGCTAGCAACTTTACATCCTAATTCTGGGAAGGAAATACCATGGCAAAATAAATAGCTATCGACCTTGTGCCGTTCTATCCTGCAGGATTATTTCCCCACTGGTCAAGAGCAATCTATGACTTTTATGTTAGCAACTACAATGATCCTCTATATGTCAGGGATCCCCCATTCTTTAAGCTGTTTGTCATGATCGAAATTGTGCTTGCTGTTCCGTTGAGCCTTTGGGGGATACGAGGAATAATCCAAGGTGTGTCAACCGGCCCTATCTCCTCTCTAATTCTTTCGCGATGAGCCGAACACAAGAGCTTACTTGTGGTGAGCTTTATGAAGATAACCGCATGGTTCCCTTGTACCTCCTCCCCTTGGTGACTCATCTTGTTTTATCTACTGTCATCTGCCAGGTGGAGGCGTAGAACACAGAGGACTGGCCTAAAGAAGATATTAACAAGAACATACCTGGATATGTTGGCTATTTCATCATCGGTATGTACAGAACCCCTGCCCCTCCCTTGTCTACTGACTGGATCAACCGAGGGAAACCTTTTAGCAATGACTATGTGGGTGGATATGTTCTCCCGTCCCAAGACACCCTTGGCTGAGAAATCTAAGATAAATTGAGAGAAGAGACAGAATGTATTTCTGATATCGTTTACTGTGCTTAGTTTGATTGGTGGACAAGCAAATTTTGTTGCTAGTTAACGGAGGAATGCTGTGCGCCAAGCCCGGAGAAGCCAGGAGAAGCCAAGGTTTGATGCTCCGAAATCTGTATAAACGTCCTGCTTTCTTCTCCAGACTCTATACAGCTCCAATTTCCTTTCGCCTTCACGGCTTTCATCCTGCTAACACGTAGAAAGCTGTGCCCGGACAGCCATACCAATGGGCAGAGCAAAAGCGGGATATTTTAAACAGTCATACACAGTTGAGCACGGTAACGTTTGGTATGGAAAGACTCTAAAGATGAAGGCAACTTGAAAAGATGACTTGAAAGGACAAAGCAAGTTAAGGGGTTGAGGATGTCCAACAACCGAAAACAGGGCCTTTGAACTTTCAATTCATTACCTCGTCACGGCAAGTTCCCGCAGCTGACTACACCTTGCACCCACAGATTCTCCCTCTTCAAATTCGTCCCTTACTTATCTTGTTCACCCCCTCCTCAACATTGGCCACCGCATCAGTAGGTGACCTCTTGCATTAAACAGCTGTTACGTGTACGCTCTCATATTGTCGACAGCTCCTGGGCCAAGGAAGTCTCGTTCAAATTCTTCGGCACAGGTCAGAGCTACTTTGATGTGTTGAAGGGTGACTGTCCCTCCTTTGGCCAAAAATCTCCTTTGCTCAGTCGTTGGCGCCCCGCCGACCTGTTCCCCCTCGCAGTGCTGCACAGATCCCCTGTTCCAATGCATAAAACACAACCTGCCTCTTCCCCTCGATATGTCCACGAGTCCTAAAAAACAAAAGCCTAACCGTCGAGTGGAGGCCAACGTCCGAAAAAGCAGGCAGGAAGTTTTGCCGCTAGGGGCAAAAGGTAATAGGTATTCACGCTTCGTAGCTATCCAAATCCGAGCTCTATCCAGTGGGTTGCTGTTTTTGCCAGATCACTTTTACTGACCATCAATAGCAAAGCAACCCCGAGGCATCACAAAGCCTCCACAAGGGCCTATTTACAGAAGCGTCCGTTTAAGACATTTATGTCATGAATTGAGCAGAAACACCCAGCACGAGCATCCGTATCCCTCTTCAACCAACAATACAGCTGGAAAGGAGGCATGTTATCCCTACCTTACTATGCTCTGAAACTAACTCAGTATTCAGATTCAATCTAAACCCCTCAAACCCTCCACAAGTAAAAGATTGAAAACAGAAATGAGACATGAAAGAACCACTTCATTTTCAAGTCAAGCTTCAAAGATGAATGCAAATGTTTCTTGCTGCTGAGGATATATTCATTCAGAAGTCAGTGAGTGATGCCACCAAAAACAAACTTAATTCAATACATAATTGAATTCAGAAAGGATATTGGCCCCAGAGGTATTTTAGCCAGGACATCAGTATGAGTTCCCTTCCTTCAACGAAGAAATCAACATCTTCCCTTCACCATAAAGGATCTGGCAAAGAAAAACAAAGAGAGGAAAAGAGTGCTCCATACGGAAACCCCACTACCAAACTATTCTTGAAACAAAAGGCAGCTTTATGAAGAAAGCGCGTGTTGGGATTACAGATGAAAGTAGTCTTCTTATCGAAGCATTGCTTACCACAGATCAGATTGTCCCGCAGAATTCGCTGTTTCGAGACGACTTATTCGACACAGCCTGCGAAAAGATCCAATGCGAGATAAATCACACACCTAACAACCTAGTTATTGAACCAAATTATTAAGGATGATGTTTCGGACCACCTGCAGCCAGTAGGGGCTGCATAAGAAATGCGTGCCGTGCCAGATCTTCGGCTGGAAGCCTCTCTTCAGGTAACCATGCGAGCGCCGATCGCAGGAAATGTAAGAACATGGTACGGGCATCCCTTTCCAGGCTCCGCTCGCGAATCTCAAAAGATTGCTCCGGGATAGGAATAGATCCTTTCCAGTTTGCTACAGACAACACTTGTTAGCATGCAAGATAGTTTGCAATTGCTAGGTTATAACCGTACCATTTTCATCCCAGTACTGAAGACACTTGTTGCTTCGTCTTATGAACTCTCGAGGCGGGGGCCCAAGAAGTGACACCATTTCAGCTAGGTGCTGTTCATCATTCAGTAGGCCGTCTTTTCTTGCAAAAAAAAGGTTTCCCGTTTCGAGGAGATCCCAGGTCTTGAACAACAAAATTAGTCGCACCTCACATGCGTAGAATGTTTGGCAGAGATAATCTCCTTACTGTGAGGCCGACTGCCCAAATATCCACTTTACAATCCCATTCCATGCCCAGAATAACCTCCGGGGCCCGGTAAATCCCTGGCATGACATCGCCATTGTGCTTGTCACCGATGTGGGCTTCACCAAAGTCGCAGAGAACAGGTAATCCTGTGTTTATCGGCATGGGTCGCGAGATATAGATCGTGCGGTCATCAAGAACCTTTCTAGCGATTGGCTGGCTGGCCTCACCCTCTTCAATTTCAGAAAGGGCTGTAAGATTGGTGATCCCTTGGAGAATGTTATTTGCAGATATGTCTAGAAATCTCAGTACTTGGGTCCCAGGATTGCATTGTATGTACCAGATAAGGAAAATGTACCTGTGTGGACAACCTTGGCTTTATGTAAATAGTCTAGCCCCAAGAGTATCAACTGCATGCTCCTCTGAAGCAGGGTCTCAGGCATCTGCTTGTTGGGAAACAAATCAAGAAATTCCGTGTAGCTCATCCCAAGAGGTTGGTAAAGCAAGCACTGGTGTTGGTTCCCAGTTGGACCCATGATGTTGAAAGAATCGAGTATCATGCGAACAAATGGTGTTCCGGGGTGCTCGATGTTGCTCGCCTTGAGATGGTTGCAGATGGTAATCTCATTATTTTGCTGTTTGTGTGAAGTACATACTTTGAGAGATAGATATTGATGATCCCTAACAGGAAAGTTGGTCATCTTGAAGTCACAGCATGCGCGCATATTTTGGGAAATACTAACACAAGGTCCCGACAAAGCCAAACTGTAGACGACATACCAAAGCCAAGTTTAGCTACTACTTGGTATCTCTCCACGAAGACCTCACCAATTGTAACTGGGTAAAAATCTCCTGGAACATAGGAGGGTAGTTCCTCCTCTTCTACCTTCAGCTTTGGGTCGAGAACCACAAACCCCGACGAAGGGAATCTGCGTGGAGGTGAGTGAGAGGTTGAAGCCATGGTCCTGACTGCTGCTGGCCAAAAGTGGAGTAGGGAAATGGGCAGCGAGACAGGACGGGTGTTTGGGAATGCGAGGAGCGGGGAAGTAATAATACTAGCAGGTAGACGAAAAGAGCCTCCGCGCATGATGATTGTACCCAAATAAGGGTTGCGCCAAAGTGCGCTGTGAGGTGATGGGCGGCTACACAGAATGTGCAGGTGTGGTGTGGAGGAGGTTGGGTTCGGGAAGATCCCAGTAGGTAGGTGTTGGGGATATGGATTGGTTCGTCCCCTCTACTACCAGCATAGCACTGGTGCGAGAGAGCTCTTTTGCCCCAGCCAATGGTGAAACTTTCGACCAAGTGCTGCCCCTTTCCACCTTGACCTCAACCAAAACTCCTTGCTACTTGCATTTCTCGCGGCCAATGAAAAGCTTTTCGAATCCAGCCCTCTCCGCCTCTCAGCGTCGGCTGCGAGCGGTTCAGGAATACAAGCATGAACGTCTTCCCAACTTCTCACCACCAACAGAAACTTGAGGTTCTTGAAACAACTCCTAGTATCCCCCGCAGTCTACGCGCCGGCCTCCAACAGCATATCCACAAGGCACTCTCCAACTTCCCAGTGCCAATGGAAAGTGTTTGAATGTCTGCCTAAATGCAAGACTCCAGAAATGGAAGCACTGACAGACAACAGCATGATACCCCAAATATATCCAGTTTCTCTTCTCCAATGAGAGGTTGTTCAAATTCTGTGTGATGCACATGCTGAAACAACTGAAGGACCATTCGATGGACAAGAATAGCCACCGCCTGGGGTTGTCTGCTGTCAAATGGAGGATAAAAAGCACCATACTTTTGTCTACAATCCTTTCTTCTTTCCCCAGCATCATGATCAATAATCTGTTTGTTCTATCCACAATCTTTTGAAGAAACATAACGCTACTCTTCTTCCCCCAACCAAACCTAACACGCCTTCAAAAAGATGTTTACCCCCACCAAGGCCATGCAAATGGTGTACAAAGGGATCTCCCTCGAGACGCTCGGCTTAGAGGCAGGACCCGAGTTCATGAAGACAGTCAACATTGCGAGCGGGAGCATTGAAAAGAAGGTAGGGCTCATGAGGTAATCCCATAATGACGATGATGCTGACCAGGCTTCGCAGTATCCTCGAGTTGCTTATGCGCAGATCCAGTAAGAAATATTTGTCACCCCATTTCTAATACATCCTAATGAAAGCATCCAAAGGGGCACAATGCCGCATACATCGAGCAGAGACGAGTCTGATGAACAGAAAGTCGTCACTGTCGGATACCACACCAGTTCTGGCACAAGACTCCTCTCAATTCATGCCCGTAATAACAGAACCTGGAAAGAGTTCTTCTCCCGACATGGAAAAACGGAAGCCGCAATCTCGGCAAGCTTGCAGAAGTCATCGGACGCGGAGGCATCCAATGCAGAGGAGCCGAACAAATGAACTGCGGACCAGCTCGCACTGGTCAAATGGGAATCCTTATCCAGCCAACCATGCATTCCTATGGTCAATATGACCTGCTGTTAGTTGTTTATTTTCCCTTCCTTCACGAGTCAAGGCCTTTGTTTTCTAGTTTCATGTGTGGTTGCATTGTATTGATGTGGTTTGCCGGTTTCAAGTGCTTCTTTCCTTCTCCATAGTTTCATAATCAGGCTTGTTTATGATCGCCACATTATGCATCTCAGTAGGGCATCCCAGGCTTGACTAAAAGTCGATTTGATTCCCATGTTCAGCACTATCACTTGATTAGCCTTTAAGTGGGAATGTTCATCGTTCTCACTTTTGTCTGATTCGTTTCTATCCATCATGGAAACAGCAATCATAATACTAGATTGCACTATATGCACGGGCTTAATCGGACATCGAGTAGTTACAATTTTTTCTCCTGGACAGGGACAGTGGTCGTCTCCAGCTCATCAAATACCCTCTTAACATCTGGACCCAGGGATTTCCTCCCTCGAAACACATACGCCACGAGTGCGATGATAACAGTGCCTCCTGGAGCTGCAGAGGCCCAAGCCATCGCGTCTGGTGTTGGACTCGGAGCACTTGGGGAGCATGCGGCAACCAGAAAACAAGTGAGAAACATGATTGCCACAACATTGAGGACATTCCCGGGGGTATGGCCAGAGTAAAAAGATGGTGGATGCGAGAGGTTGCCGTAGGGCGAGGGGCCGAAGTCGCGGTTGCAGAGACGAGCAAGAATACACAAGATACACAAGATATACAAGGACATCAGTCCTGCTGCGGAGATTGCCAGGATATTCAGAAAGGCAACCGTAAACTCAAGTGGAATAAGGGCAATGATAGTGCCAATGATCCAGGTGAGTATAATGACATTCACTGAGATGAGTTTGTTGGGTGAAACGTAGCAGATCCAATTCGAATAGGGAAGTCCTCCATCGCGGGCGAAAGCAAATATCTGGCGAGAGGAGCGTGTTTCAGCAATTCCAAATGTTTATATATATGAAGTACAGAACCTTGAATATAATCTAATACTCAGTCTGTTATAGCTTACAGAATTTGAAACCCTATTGAATGTATACAACTGTTGCCTCATTTTCTCAGAAGATGATCACATTTATAAGAAGAATATTGATAAAATTATTGATCTTACTTAGATATCAGCAGAAGTATTCAAGCTATTAACTTATTAAATATATAAAAAGAAGAATATTCAAATACTTGCTATCAGTATAATAGATATCAAGAAGATATTAGAAAAATTGGAATTTAAGAACTTTAAAAAGTCATATAAGAAACTTCTTAAATTGTATAAGAACTTTGTAAATTGTAACAGATGTGTTGTTGATTAAGCAGATATTACTATTGTTGTAAATTGAACTGTTTATACTGTTTATAATACTTTATATAGTCTATACAGTTTATACAATTCATTTCAACAGCACAATCAACAAACTTAATATTATTTTAATAATAGATTATAAATTAATTAAAAAAAAGAAGAAAAAAATTAGAAAAAAAGATTATATAAAGAGAGTTTTTATAAAAAAAAAAATTAAAATAAAAAAATATTAAAGATTACACTGCAGTAAGATATAAAATAAAAGAATATTAAAAATTATATAAAAAATTTATTAAAAACTACATAAATATAAAGCAGAATTATAAAAAGAAAGTGTTTTATTAATATATAAAAGTATATAAAAAAATGAATGAGCAGTAGAAGATTTAATTGTATAAATTAATTATTAATAAATATTAACTTATTATATTATCTTTTTCTACTGAAATAAATGAGAATTTATAAATACTAAAAATAATAGTATTTTTTATAACAGATATAGATTCTCAGATTGAATAATTATATTCTATTTATTTAATAAAATATTTATAATAATAATAATTAATTCTATTACTGAAAATTATTTCAATTTTTTATTCAAATTTATTATTTTTTCTATAATAATAGATAACTACTAGTTGAAAATTGTAACAGATGTGCTACTGATTAAGCAGATATTATCAATGTTGTAGATTAAATTATTTATATTATCTATACAGTTTATATAATCTATTTCAATAGCACTATCAACAAACTTGACACTATTCTGATAATAGTTTATAAATTAATTAAAAAAAGAAAGAGAAAGAAGATCAGAGAAAGAGATTGTATAAGAAGATTTTTATAGATAAAAAAATTAGAATAGAAGAAATATTAAAAATTATACTCTGAAGAAACACAGAGTAGAAGAATTATTAGAATATTAAGATATATATAATTATAAAACAGAATTATAAGAAGATGTGAGAGAATTTTATGAGTATATATGAGTATATAAGTATATAATAGAGGATTGATTGTATAAGTTAACTGCTAATAAATACTAACTCATTATATTATTCCTCTCTACTGAGATGAATGAGAATTTATAGATATCAAATATAATAATGTTCTTTATAATAAATACAGATTCTTAAATTAAATAATTATATTCTATTTATTTAATAAAATATTCACAGTGATAATAATTAATTCTATTGCTGAGAATTGCTTTAATTTTTTATTTAAGTTTATTATCTTCTTCTATAATAATAGATAATTATCAGTTAAAAATTTTCTGTAAGAGAAATAGATTCTCAGCTGTAAATTAGAATAGATTTATATAAAAAATATTATAAATATTAAATAAAATATTTAGTTAATAGTTATAAATATCTAATACTTCTACTACTGTATATTTAATATAATGATAATTCAGTATATATAAAAGATGATTTATTTTTATATTTTTGAGATCTAATCAAATCTTGTCTTCTATATTATATCAGATTGTGAAACTTTTTCTGATATTTATTTGATTTTTATAGTTCTACTGAATGCTAATTATTAAAGCTTTAGCTTATTTATAAATTTTTTTAAATTTACTGATTATATTCTCTACTGTTTACACAGAATTGCAGATATATATAATCTTTTAAGAAATCTCAGAGAAGTTCAGAATTTCTAAATTATAATTATATAGAAGAAAGAATAAATTTACATCTGTTATAGTAGAATCTCAGCTGTTTATAGTGATTTTAGTATATAACAGCAGATTGCTTCAGTCATTTTATATATAATTATAGAACTTTTAAAGAATATTTTTAACTATTTATATTATTCTCTCAGTAGCTTTATCAGTCTCTAAATAATATACTATTGACAACTTTTACTTAATTTTCAGTAGCTGATATATATAGATTTAGAGTATACTAATAAATTAACTATCTCTGTCTGATACAATAAATAAAAATAGACTATATATATAATAGAATGAGTTTCTGATGAAGATATCTATAATAATCTCAGTATTTATTTTATTACAGAGCTATAGTATTATATTTTTACTGAGTCAGTTAATAATGATTAGAATATTTATAGAATCTTTAAACTGACTGTGTGATTATACATAAAACTGAGATCAGATTTTTCTTTAATTTTATTATTAGATATCTTAGTTCTGATCTCATATAGTGTTTAGTAAATTAATTACTTTACACTGTTTATATTATAAATCTAGTCTTAGATTATATTCTACTAATAAATTAATAATTCTAGTCTTATTTGATTTCATTTTTACAAAATGAAATTAAATAAAATTATGATTTATTCTATATAGATTGATAGTAATGATAGATTAGCAGCAGTAGATAGATTGACAGTGATAGATTAGCAGCAATAGATTAGCAGCAATAGATTAGCAGTAATAGATTAGCAGTGATAGATTAGCAGCAATAGATTAGCAGCAATAGATTAGCAGCAGTAGATAGATTGACAGTGGTAGATAGATTAACAGCAATAAATAGATTGACAGTGATAGATAGATTGACAGTAATAGATAGATTGACAGTGATAGATAGATTAACAGCAGTGATAGATTCATTAGATTAATAGTAATAAATAGAAAATCTAATAATAAGCTATCAAAGTATTGAGTACTAAATAAGATAGAGATAATATCTTCATCAATTATATCATCAGATTAATATATTATATAATCATCAGAATGGGATTAAACTTGAGTCAAAATTATAATCAGTCTTAGATTATAT